GTAGATAATACTTTTGACAGGATGTTGTTTTGCCGAACATGAAATGCTTGCTCACGGCTTTGGCTTTCTTGAGGATCCTTTAGAGGATTGGCAAGATAGGCATACTGACCATACGCAACATTGTAATTTTTACAATAATTAACTTTTTTCTGATTTATTTTATATCCTTTAATTTATACAAGCTTATTAACACAGCTGATCATGTTTTCAAATTCTAGTTCATTTAATTTCGCCTACAGTTATCTCGTTTATGGTACATGAATTCAAATTCTTGGTGACCATACACCGCTTTTCCTGGAAGGTACGATTTTTTCACATTGAAGATTCAATGATAACTGCCGCATGAACACACCTGCAGATGATTCTAATTTCAATATTTTACCTTTTTTATTTCACGCCAGTACTAGGGACGTGGACGGTAACTTGCATCTTTTATTTCTGGCCATGAATAAGCTCAATCAAACCGAACCTGCAACAGTTTCTATTTTGTCGGTCTTGAGAGATCCCATTTCTCTCTATTCTGTCTTCATTAGTACTAATTTGTTGTCTTTATAATGTTTCAAATTAGTTAAGCAGTTTTTCGTTTTTTACGATTTAAACTTGAATGCAAAGACTACTGCAAGAATCTTGCAGACGACAAGTCAAGTACAGATGGTGTTACCCACCTGACTCATTATATAATATTACATAAATATCCAGTAACGTTCAATTGATAAAAGAAAAAAGATCATCCTGGACGCGACAGAATATTGTTATGAGATATTTGTGCCAAGTTACTTCAAAATCACCCAATGCATGAAAAGTGACAGTGTGGACATGATTGTTGTGTAAGTGGGGACAAACGGACGGACAGACATACAGATAGACAGACATGAACCTTAGCCGCGACACATTGTCTTGATGTGGTAGACATTTGTGCAAAATTATTTAAAATCCTTCCATGCATGACAAAAATACAGTCCGGACATGAATGTGTATCTTCAAACTCTTCTCGAGAGAATGAGTACATTCAAACTATAAGTGTGACATTGACATTGAAGGTAGGGACATGAGTCTTAGTCGCGACATGTCGTCTTGATGTGGTAGACATTTATGCCTAGTTAATTTAAAATCCTTCGATGCATGACAAAGTAACAGTCCGGACACGAATGTATGTACCTATAAACTCTAATTGTGATAATGTGAACTTCAAAATGGTCGTGTGACCTTCACCTTTAGGGCAAGGACGTGATTATTAAACGCAACATATTGTCTTGATGTGATAGACATTTATGCCAAGTTATTCTAAAATCATTCCATGCATGACAAAGTTACAATCCGGTCACAAATGTGTGTTCCTATAAACTCTTATTTTGAAAAAGTGAAACTTCAAAATGTTTGTGTGACCTTGACCTTTGAGATAGGGGCGTAATATTTAGGCGCAACACATCGTCTTGATGTGTTTGACATTTATGCCTAGTTATTTTAAAATCATTCGATGCATGACAAAGTTACAGTCCGGACACGAATGTGTGTACCTATTTACTCTTATTGCGATAATGTGAAACTTCAAAATGATGGTGTGACCTTAACCTTTGAGATAGGGGCGTGGTTCTTGAACGCAACACGTCGTCTTGAAGAGGTTGACATTTGTGCCAAGTTATTCAAAATAATCCCTCAATGTATGACAAAGTTACAGTCCGGACATGAATAAAGTGGGGACGCACAGACGGACAGTGTGATTTTAATATGCCTCCCTTCGGGGCATAAAAACAACAACAACATGGAATTGCTTCAATAAAATGTCTTGGTATTTGATGTTATAAACATTGTTTGGTTATGAGACTTATACTTTAAACATATTTTTGATTAAAACTTAAAACATTTCCTAAAAAACTCCAGCTACTTGGTGCCTGACAACGCGTTGTGTCATCTGTTCTGATACCAAGCAGTTTAGGTCGCTCTCAGAAATACTTAGCAGATGTGCAGCAAAACCAAGCAAATTTGGTCACTCTCGGCTATACCAAGCAGTTCTGCTCGCTCTCGGCAATACCAAACAGATTTCGTCGCTCTGAAGAATGCCAAGCAAATGTGGTTGCTCTCGGCAATACCAAGCAGATCTGCTCGCTCTCGGCAATACCAAGCATATTTGGTCGCTCTGAAGAATGCAAAGCAAATGTGGTTGCTCTCGGCAAAACCAAGCAGATTTGATCGCTCTCAGAAATACCAAAGCAGATGTGGTCGCGCACGGCAGATTAGTGGTTAATGTATAACGCTGGTCCAAAACACATCCGTCCATTCTTATTTTCTGTTGGCATAGCTTTGAACAGTGTAAGACCAACTTTTTTTAATACGGAAACAAATCATAAGTAGGACATTATAAGAAATAAAAGATTTAAAAATTTGAATAACAAATTATTATGCCCCCACAAAGTGGCGAGCATATAGCGTTGCACTTGTCCGTCCGTCCGTACGTACGTCTGTCCGTCCATATGTCCCGAAATCTTGTGAACGCAACTCCTCTTAAACCGGATGGCAGATTTTGCTTAAACTTCCAGAGATAAACAACCTTATTGTGTAGATGACAGTAAAGGAAAATTTTTTTGATGTGACCACATTTAATAGAATTATGGCCCTTTGTTGATTTTTTTCACTATATACTATGTAGAAATTTTGTGAACGCAACTCCTCTTAAACCGGATGAGATTGCTTAAACTTTCAGGGATGAACAACCTTAATGTGAAGTTGGAAGTAAAGGAAGGAATTTTTGCTGCGACAAAATTTAACAGAATTATGGCCCTTTGTTGACTTTTTCACTATATACTATGTAGAAATTTTGTGAACGCAACTCCTCTTAAACCGGATGGCAGATTTTGCTTAAACTTCCAGGGATGAAAAACCTAAATGTGTAGATGATAGTAAAGGAAGGGATTTTTGCTGCGACAAAATTTAACAGAATAATGGCCCTTTGTTGATTTTTTCACTATATACTATGTAGAAATTTTGTGAACGCATCTCCTCTTAAACCGGATGGCAGATTTTGCTTAAACTTCCAGGGATGAACAACCTTAATGTGTAGATGGCAGTAAAGGAAGGGATTTTTGCTGCGACAAAATTTGACAGAATTATGGCCCTTTGTTGATTTTTTCACTATATACTATGAAGAAATTTTGTGAACGCATCTCCTCTTAAACCGGATGGCTACCGAGCTTGCAACATTTTCAATTTTGCTGTGTTGGGCTTTTTCTAGGGATTCTGTATTTATCTATTTTGCTTAAACTTCCAGGGATGAACAACCTTAATTTGTAGAAGGAAGAAAAGGAAGGAATTTTTTTTTCGACCAAATTTAATAGAATTGTGGCCTTTTTTACTTTTTCACTAGTACCATATTGAAATTTTGTGAACGCAACTCCACTTAAACCGGATGGAAGCTTTTGCATAAACTTCCATAAAAACATGCATGCTCTTGTTTACGAGCTTATCTGCACAATGGGGGCATCCGTGTCCTTTGGACACAGTTCTAGTTTATTCCATTTTACAATAACCCCTAGAATAATGAATGTAAATTCGAATTTTAAAGAATAGGAATACAAATAAAAGGATTGAGCTACAGATTTATTATAAACTTTAGACTTATACATGAACAAAAACTCATAATAATGATTGTATCTTGAAATAAAGACACTTGAGATAAGTTTACTGGTGAACCACATATCCAGAGAGTGAGTTCAGATGGCTAACATCTTTAAATATAGAACTGGTCGTACAACTTTAAGTGCATTTAACAAATATTCCGCAAAACGCCATCCTTATGAAAAAAGTGAAATATTGTCTCCGTGTTTTCAAGAGTACTTTTGAATGTTTATGTAAAACAGCAACTGTATCTGCTTTATTACATGGATACACTTCCTTCTCATATACAAGTTACAATAAAATAGAAGAGAAAAGTAAAAGAAAAGATAAATTTACTGGTGAATCAGATATCCAGAGAACGAGTTCATATGATAGCCATCTTGATATACAGCATTGACACAATTATTAGTGCATTTAACAAATACTTTTGAATGTTCATGTAAAACAGCAACCGTATCAGTACTATCACATGAAATGCTATCTTTATCATAAACATATAAGGTAGCATATGTTGTCCCATCTATCATGATATCCATCAGGAAATAGTTGTTGATATTTGTACACAATTGTAAACTAAATGAGTACGTTCCGTTGACAGGCACAGTGAAGATTCCAGTAGATGTATTATAAGCATTTCCTTCATAAACAAGTGTAGAGCCAAATATAAAAGTGTTTCCAACGCCAGGATTTTTGTTTTTTACATTCTTAACTTAAAATACTATGTTTGGACCTGTAAAACAAAATTTGTCACATACGTTTGTTAAGATATAACAATATTATCTATTGAGTTACTTTGATAATTTTAATTACTATTGTACTGTATAGCCATAGAAAAACACAACTAATAATAAAATTGATGACCATAACACGTAGAGAGGCAAAAATAATTTCCATCAGAACATTGCGAATATGCATACATGTAACTCTTGAGTACATATCATTTAAATGTACCAATGTTATCCATGTAGTTATATTCTGTCAACAATCTGGTACTTTCGTTTTATCATAGCAAGCATTACATGCTAACATCTTTCAGACATTAGCTATACCAAAACTCTCACTAATTTTGATTAAAATTCATGTTATAATGGCGAATTGACTGGATGGTTATCACGTCCGACTAGTAACATAGTATCGCTATCTGTGTAGATTCAAACCCCGTCAGAGGCGAGCCAGTGTTTCCTTGAGCAAGAAATTTTACACTCATTGCTCAGTACTGGTTGGACCCAGACGTAAATCTATAAGCTTCATACACAATGTAACTAAAATTCTGTATAATTAAAAAGACACGAAGTTGTGATGACACGGAGGTTTTCATTAAGATATAGAACAATATGTGTTTGTCATATTTTTAAGCCAATGTAGGAATGAAAATAACTGTTTTCATTCTAATGCTTATTAATGTTATTTTAAATGTTATCACGTACTACAATTGCTTTTCCTACAGGAAACAACTTCTGAAGAATCTCCATCACAATATGTTCCCAGAGGCGATGGTGACGGATTTGTGCAGGTACGTGATCTAGACTTTAACCCGTCCCCACACGTCACTGAACAGGTGCTCCATTGTCCCCAGTCAGTCCAACCACCATCTTAAATACAAACTTTTTTTTATATGAAAATAATCTCTACAATTTTGTTGTCTCCTAAATGTTGTGAAAATTCATTGAAAAAAGATGTGGTGATTAACTTTCAAACGATTTAAGATATAAAGGATAGCAGCCAATAAGAGGAATGATCTAGAAATACCCGGAATTTAGCCATACATTTTATAATATATATTAAATGTTCAGATCACAAACACTGTATTTATGCTCTATATATCCTCTTTACAAGGAAACAAGAATTATTAACAATCACATTATGATAACCAAATGCATATTTAAGTAAGCATAATATTGCGCATGCGCCACAGTCTGAATGTTGTCACATCGTCGAAAACATACTAAAATATTTTCAAAGTATTTGCCGCGGTACGCAATATCGATCGATGCTTTTTACCCTTTGGGTGAATAATGATGTTCTAATACCATATTAAAATAATCATATCAATCCATCAGTTTGGATTTTCTTGATATTTTTTTTGGAAACGGTTCTGAGATATCAAAATTTTAAAAAAAAATGAGATGAAAAAGAAAGCGCCAGAGACCACATGTGTCACCTCATGATAGCCAATTGCATGTTGCAGCTACTGTGTAGCAGGAGACACAAGAATCATTAACGAGCCAAAACGCGTTTTTTTATACAAGGGCTAAAACTCAGCAAAAAATGATTGAAATATAAAACCTATGCATAATGCACAAGGACTTAAGATACCAATCAATCCTGTAAAGTTTGATTGAAATTGCATTATTGGATTTAGATGAGTTGTCCGGACAAATTTTAAAAATAAAAATAATTAAATGACAAAAATCATTGAAGCGGAGAATACTGATGATATTCACAACTACACTTTAATCAAATCATTTCTGTAAGGCTTTGATAAAACTGCACCAGAAGTTTGTGCAGAGTAGTCCGGACAACTTTTTGAGCAGGTGGCAACACAAAAAACATCTTTTTTATTCAAGGGTCATAACTCAATTAAAAATCATTCAAGCCGAAAATCCGTGTAATGTGCGCAAATACTTAAGCTACAAATCAATCATGTAAAGTTTCACTGAAATTGCAATTAGTAGTATGAGCTGAGTAGTCCGGACAAACTTTAAAAATAAGATTCATTAACGGTTCATAACTCCGTCCAAAATCATTGAATAAAAAAAACCCCGACTATATCATTACTGATCATTACTTATCATTCACGACGGAGAAGTGACTTCTCTATGTCGCCACTACTCTCTAGAGGCGGCACAAATCGATAGCACAAATGATGCATAATGGGCCAAAGACCATAAAAGGACAAATTGGATTTTTGTTTGTTCCATGTAAAAATTTTCTGTGATAGGTGCTGCAATACAATATCTTATAGTGTTGTTATAATCTATCGTGTTATTATCATTTTAGATTACATCTACAAGTATTTCTTATTTATAGGCTACATTAATATTTACCAACATTATGATTTAGGTGATGATTTATGAGTTATGTCAATTTCAATGATAAAGGTTCCATAAACATCCAAATATTAAAAGATAACCCACTGGTGTTGATTTATATGTGTGTCACTGAATAGCTTTTTCATTCTTTTTATTTAGATTTTAACAAGAAACGTAGCTTGTGAACAATACATCAACACCCATTCTTAAAATCATGAGATAACTGAAGCTCTATATTTAAACTACTTGCGCATGGAACCGGTAAGCATATTCTATAATCTAATGTGTAGATAAACTTACTTGCATATGGACCCGGTAAGCATTGTGTAGATAAATCTACTTGCACATGGACCCGGTTAGCATATTCTGTTATATAATGTGTAGATAAACCTACTTGCACATGGACCCGGTAAGCATATTCTATCATCTAATGTGTCGCCGAAACATTGAAGTCCGTTTCTGTCTGGTATTGGGTTTGAGCAATTACGATGTCGCCTTTCTATGCCTACTCCACATGTTACAGAACATGCGTCCCAGTTCGACCATTGAGTCCATCCGCCATGCACTTTGAAAAATATACAAATTTGGATGATTTTTTGAAGAAGTTAAAATGCATATATTAACTTCTACCTTTGACGGAAATCCTCTTAAATATTTAAAGAATGTAATTTAAGTTTTCCTACTGATTAATCTTTCTTTTGGTTGTTTAAAACTGCGTCACTAGAATTTGGTTCAATAATTTCTTTTCTAGCAGGAGTGTAACTATTTGACAATATTTCAGCTGCATACTAAAAGATAAGCTATTTCCGACATAGATAAATGGAAGGTTCTCCTGCTTCAGTATAGAGATTTTCTACTGGCAATGTTCGAGAACCGAACGTATATGTTAATAATTGCATTTTTTGTGTTTCATTTTTTTGAGCATCATTGTGTTTGAATTAACCTGTGTATGTTACGATCTGGTATTCTAGTAAATTATCTACAACCCAAACCTTTCCTTAAATGTTTATTCAGATTGAACGTCATTTTTGGTTTCAAATAAGATATTATAATTTGTAACTGATTTAGAGTATGCACTACTAACATGATTATAAATATGCCATTGTCATGCTAAATTCATACCTGGACAAAGTTGTTTTAAGCATGTCTTAATATCAGTGCGTGTACCGATGCAATAAAGTCCGCCATTTGTTGGAGGAGGATCGGAACATTGTCTTGTTCTTGTCTGAGTCCCATTTTCACAAGTGACGTCACATGTAGACCACGGGGACCAGCTTGCCCAATTCCCATCCACTGTTTAAAAGGTGATCAAATGAAATATGCCAAATAAATGAAAATCAGATATTGTGATCTTGGAGAGTATTACTGAACAACAGCAAGTCAAAACACGTTGAATGCAAATAATGTCCATTTATGCCTGCATGGCCTAGTAACGAATATTTTGTCTACTTATACATAGTATGTATATTTCATATGAATCGTGGTTATTGGTAAAAGAAAACGGTTATTTTGAAAGAGTGTTATAGCATCGAAAAGCTTCTCATATAAAAACAGCCAAAAAATAAGTCTCGAAATTTAAACCTGAGAAATCATTAACTTAATTGATTAAGATTTGTAACTGGAAAAAAACAAGTGTAGTAAGTCAAATCGATAAGCTTACCAAGTGAACACAGTGAGCAGAATTTTGCACAGATTAACTTGGCTCGATGAATATCCTTACAAATATTGAAAAAGCTATTTAGAAAAGCACAATCCACTGTCACATCATCAATACATGCTCCGGCTGAAATATAAATAGTAGCCACCCTAATAGTGCTATCAACGTATTTGCAATACACTATTCCGTATGTAGACAACGGACTCTTTCATAAAGGATTACCACAACTAAAACTCGGTAAATATTGGCTTATATCGGTAAATCTGGGTGATATCTTTAAAACCCAATAAATCGTTTTTGCCTTTCGGCAGTGTTCGAATATGTAATGTTAGTTGATGTTGTTGTTATTTTTGTCACGTGATAGAATGTTTTTCATTATGATATCATTTCTTGGCCCTTTTAAAATTTAATGTTAAGAAAAACGGATGTTCTGTTCGTCTTTTTATTGTTCAGTTACCAAAAAATTTGAAAGGAAGAACTTACGTGTTAAATGTGCACACAGATTTGTATTGCATCTATCTTTACTACAACATTCATGGCAGTCCAAAGTTTGTCTCCCATTTATCTGTCGACCGATCAAATTTCCGGCACCACTGGCACTTACTCCACATAACTGTAAAATGGAAATATGACTTATAGATAAGAAACTACAAAAGTGGACAGTAAAGGCATATTGGTAACTAGATATGTCCTGTACACTTTGATTCTGCGATTATTGCAAATTGATAAAATTTTACTAATTTCCGGTAATTTGAACAAATATCTTATATTCATATTGTTGGTTTAGAACAACTAACATGATACTTTTTCTAAGAGGAGAACGGAATTTTATAGTAAATTATGTCACTTATTTTGCTATACACTAGTTTTATATGAACCAAACCAAATTTTAGAATTTTGTTAATTTTGTAAAATTTGTTTTGGTATATTTCTTACCTACCTGATTGTCTGTACATCCGAGGGTGCTTCTTTGTCCTGTTGATTTTACTTCTATGTAACAAGACTATAAAATTACAAAATACAAGTAAATATCATAAAAAGCGTTTATAGTCATTGACAAAAAATAGAGACATTTCGGAATAATAATTTATCAGTTTTGATAGTGATAAGTTAAGACATGGTCTCGTGGTGATATAACCTTTTTCTGAGTTCTGTCTCAAATCTCAGGAATTTAATTGGTCAATTAATACCTGAGTTCTGAAATTTCTTTGTAACTTTGAATTCTGTATTTGCACAGCTTTGAATTTTATTGTCATACAAAATGTATCTTCCTGACTATTAATATATTATTTTTTCTCTCATTGACAATAACCTGATTCTCATTTGTCAATATTTACTTTAACATCATCAAATTCAATAACGTGTCGATATTTATCAGAATAGTATTATATTATGCGAACTTGTACATTTCTTTGACCAATACGGCGTTATGCTACTGTTAGATATTTACCTGACCGGCATGGCATTCTGTCACTGTAAGACATTCATCAACGTCAGCAATGTCGGTACAATTGTAACAATGCAAGGCGTCTAAAGTAAATGTTTTATAATGAAATACAATGAATAAACAAACTATTTTAGATTGTTTTATAATATGCTACTGTGTTATCGTCATAGTAAAGTTCAGCTTCATTTCTAATATTACCTAGCGTTCAGCTTAATGTTAAAAAAACTGTAAAAAGTGACGCTAGATAAAAAGTAGTCCAGCAAACAGGTTCTCATTTTACCACGTGATCTGGGCAATATACGGTAATTTGTTTTGGGACCGAAAGTGATACAGCCCGGTACTTTATTTTTGGACCGAAAGTGATACAACCATGTATTTAATGCTTACCAGATGTCTTTGGAAAGGAAAGCAGCAGGTATATCGAAAAACCTAAAATATACAATTTGTAATGTTATTCTAGTCATTTTACATTTTGTTGAAGGAAAAGTACGTACAAATACATTTGAGTAATGACAAGCGAATTATTTTTCTTTATAGCGTATTAAATAAGTAGCAGCTAAAGGTGACATTAATTGCAAACCCATGCACTCAGTAAAGCGTTAACTTGAACAAAATTAAATCTTATTTCAGATACATATTGTGACCATTGTACACATCATGAAGAAAAACAAGGTGTTGCTGCCAAAATAAAATATCATTTCTTTCGGACAAGTTTGACTGACTGATAAGATTTTGAAATTCGGACTGGTACCTGACACCCAGCATAGACGACATACATCTGACGGACCAAGGGGATATTCTATGATGGACAGTTCTTAAAGCCCTTTGGGACTGAATTGTCTTAATGTTCGTCCTCTGCCTTGCTTCGTCGGGCCCTTGTAGGTGAATTTCTTGTTGCTCTGTCTTCCTTTAGGACATTGAGTTCTTTTGTAATGGTCATTGGGCTTTACATTTATATGTTCCTACATTATCATTTTGGTGTTTTATGTATTTATCCTTTTGTTTGTTTGTTTGTTTCATTTTACGCCTTTTTTCCAACAATATTTCAGTCATATTGGCGGATAGTTTCCTAACCATCGTTCCTGGAGAGTTACACTAGTACTAGACTACCTTCCTCCGCGCTAAACTACCAAAGCATCTCCCGGGGATCAAACCCACGCCAGAGAGGTAACTGGACTAGAAGTCATCGACTCTAACCCCTCGACCACAGAGGCGGTTAACCTTTTGTAACCATAACAACTGTTAGAATTTCACTTGGCGGGAATTCATTTTATTTACACTGTCTCGTTTATAGGAACATGGTGGGGCTAAGAGTGAGGTTTGGTGCACCATTAACCTATTTAAACTCCTCGGCAGTACTTGTGCTGCTGACCGTTCCAAGGCGGCGCTCTTCTGTGTTCCTCAGATGTATTTCTATGTTGTTTCATTCTGTTTTGGTGACACTTTTGCTTGTGTCCATTTTTGTTTTCTTGTCTACGGTAAGTATCTTCCCCGTTGCCCCTAGTCTTATTTCTTTAGTTTACCTCCCCCCATTCCCCGGGTCTCCTGACCACTTCCCCTGTGCCCTTTGACTTTTTGGGCCTATTTTCAATCATTTATTTGTTTTCTCTGAATTCCTTATCAGTAACAAATAATTTATCATTTGTGATTAGCCTGTCCGTGATCTGCCTTGTGCCCTGCCCTTTTTTATTTGGGGTCCGCTTAGGCTCCTTGCCACTGGTTCTTGTTGCTGGGTCGCGTGGGGTTTGCGTTCATTGAACGCCGTCTTTCCTTGTTGATCTTGTTTATCATATTTTATGTTGGCTGGTAAAATAGAGTTCAAATCATAATGTTACTTGTTTCAGAATACAACCAAATAAGTCTTTACTCTTACGTTGTCAAGATAAGGCAATTTATTACATTTATCTAACATTAAAAGATTTCAACTCGGGTCCAAATTCCCCAGGAAAAGTATTTTGACTTTTTACATATATCAACTGAGAAAGTTAAAACGTAAAAATTCCGAAAGGTAAGAAAGCAATTCCCTAAAAGTAAAATTGCTAAGTCGGTTTTCATTTTTCTCACATTTTCCACAGAATAATAAAACGATTATTCTGGAAAATAAGAGTGGGCGAATGATCTGAAAAATCGCAAACGAGTTACAGTCCCCGACTTACACTCAATTATACAAAAGTATTCCAGTCATGTAAAAAAACTCACATGGGAGATAATAATAATAATAATAATAATAATAATAACTTTATTTACCGAAGGTAACACATTAAGACATATAGAGATTGCAACATCTTATTTACAATGCGGCCTTCTAAAATAAAAATAAAAAATAAAAACACACACACAAAAGAACACATATCAATCAAAGAAAATATAACATGTAAAAAGAAATGATTAAATGGTTATCACAATTTTAACATATATTAACACATATACTGAACATTCATACAATTCATTTTATTTATCATTAAACATAATACTTCCATCAGTGCATCATTTTAATCTGCAATTTAAAAAGTAAAATTAACTTACAAAATTAACACAGTCAAAAAACTTGAAACTAAGACAGACACCCATTATTAGAAAACATAATAATAAAAAAAAACACATGTATGAATATAAATAGCTTCTCTGTATATATAAGACATACGGACCGTGCTAAATTTGATTAAATAAGTATTTCTTGAAACATTTCTTAAATATTGGCAATTTTGTTTTTCTTCTTATAGTCAGTGGTATGGAATTCCAAATAACCATGGCATTAAATTGGAATGTGTCATTAAAATAATTAGTACGTGGTTTGTAAGACGAAATTAAATTTCCGTTAGATATCGATCTTAGATTATACTTTTGATTATTAGATATGGTAAGTAAGTCTCGGATATATTGAGGGGACATATTATTCAATGCTTTATATACTTGGACACCGCTGTGAAAAATACATCTTTTCTTGAAAGGCAATATTTTTAATCTTTTGTATAAATTTTCTGATTGTTTTCTCATTGGAAGGTCTAGAATAATTTTGCAAATTCGTGTTTGTATTTTGTATATTTGGCATATATATTTTTTGTTTTCTTTTCCCCATATATTACAACAATAATCAAAAATAGGAAGAAGGTATGCATTATAAAAAAGCATGCGAGATTCCTTATTTAAAAAGTACTTTATACGCCTAAATAAATTAACTTTAGAGTTCAATTTTTTACACACATCATTTACCTGACAGTGCCAATTGAGTGTATTTTCAACATAAATACCAAGCAGTTTTTGTGATTCTACATTGTCAAGAGTTGAGTCGTTAATTTTCAAATTTAATGCTTTTGCAATCTTTAGCTTTTGTCTACTACCTACCAGCATACTTTTAGATTTTTTAGGGTGTAAAAGCATATTATTTATTTTACACCACTTAGTAATCATATTAAGGCTATATTGTAGTTTTTCTTCTATAACTGATATGTCATCTCCAGATTTATGCAACGTGGAATCATCAGCATATAAATCTATGTTAACATCCTCGCAAATATTTGGGAGATCATTTATATAAAGAAGAAACAGTAAAGGACCTAATATTGAGCCTTGTGGAACGCCAGAGGTAACATATTGTACGTCAGATTTTAAGTCTCCAATTTGAATTATTTGCATACGATTAGACAGATACGAATGAAACAGTTTTAATGATGTGACAGAAAAGTGATAAAGTTTGAGTTTATATAAAAGTATTTCATGGTCAACTAAATCAAACGCCTTTTGCAGGTCTAAAATACTGTACCTTTATATTTGCCACTATCAACATCTTTTAGCCAGGAGTCTATCAAATGAATTAGGGCCGTATTGCATGAATGATTCTTTCGAAATCCTGATTGTTTATTATGTAAAATATTTGTTTTTTGGAAAAAATGCTGTAACTGATTAGCTATGTGACGTTCAAAAATCTTAGATATTGTAGGCAAGATAGAAATAGGTCGATAGTTGCTCGGATCATCTTTCAGTCCAGATTTGAAAATTGGAATAACTCGGGCATTTTTTAATTCATCGGGAAATATTCCTTGTCTTATACTGTTATTAATTATGCTAGCAATCATTGGGGTCACAAAGTCACCACACGATTTTATTATTTTTGGACCTAGTTCATCTAGTCCAGTGGCTTTATTTGCATCTAGTTTATCAATAATGTTTTTAACTTCAAATGCAGAAATGCTTTCAATTTTGAATTCTTTCCATTTCAATTTATTATCTAACTTATCCTTCAATATTTTAAATTCGTCGTTAGATAACTGTACTTTTTCGACAATATTAGAAATGTTTACAAAATGTTTGTTCAATTCATTTATAATATTAGCATGATCAGTAAATGTAGTATCGCCAAAAGTGAGCCGTTCGGGAATAAGTACATTTTCCTTTTTACCTAAATTAGTTAAATCATTAATATTTTGCCAAATGTATTTTGGATTTTTTCTTTCATTTATTGCATTATTGAAGAAATTCTTTTTGCTTTTCTTAATCTCTGAGTTTATTTTATTTCGTAATAATTTATAATTATCGAAATCTCCATTTTTGTGATATTTATCTCTTAAAAATATCATTGCTTTAATTTCATCAGTGAACCATTTAGGCTGTGCATCAAATTTAATTCTCTTTTCTTTTATTGGAGCATGTTTGGTAATAATATCTTTTACTATTGAAAAAAAGGTTTGTAAAGCTAAATTTGGATCAACAATATACTCCACAGATTCTAGAGAAGATCGAGCTAAATCAGTCTGAAAAGATTGTTCATTAAATGTCTTGAATGATCTATATTTCATTGTCTTATGGAAACCACGTTTAACTCGTGATTTAACTGTTCTAATGAAACAGACAGGGAAGTGATCACTTATTGATAAATTTGATACAAATATATTACATACATGTGAATGACTATTCACACTGCCATAAATATGATCAATAATTGTTGCACTAGTTTTAGTTGTTCTTGTTGGAGTTTGAATGAATTGCTTAAGACCAAATTTTGATATTAAATTAGACCATTTTGTATTATTGAACTTGTTTCTGAGTTTATCAGGCATAAAATTAATATTTACATCGCCTAGAATATAATACTCAGAATATTTAGAATCAATTTCATCAAGTTGCTGTTCGTACTCATCAATCCATGATTGACGTACTTTTGGAGGGCGGTATACATAGTTTACTAGAAACGTTTTTGTATTAGGGTAGTTTATCTCTATCCAAAGAGATTCTAAATTTTCATTTTCTAGGTCATTTCGACGTTTGTAGGGCACTTTCTCATTTATGAAAACTATCAACCCCCCTCCGTTTCTTCCATTTCTATCCTTTCTTTCAAAAACAAAGTTTTCTATTTTCAATTCATTATTATGAATATTTTCATTTAGATATGTTTCACAAATACCAAAGATATCTGGTTTGTTCATTTTTCCTAGA